TGGATGGATGGGTGGATGGGTGGGTGAGTGGATGGGTGGGTGGATGGGTGGGTGGGTGAGTGGGTGAGTGAGTGGGTGGATGGGCGGATGGGTGAGTAGATGGGTGGATGGATTAATAAACAGGTGAGCAGATGTGTGGTGCATGAATGAATTGATGGATGGGTGGGTAAATAGATGCATGGGGCAGATGGATAGGCAGATGGACAGATAGATGGAATGGTAGAAAACCGTCCTTCATTTTTCTCTCATGTGTTGCCCTTAGGAAAACAGACAAAGATTTTTAAAAGAGAAAGAGAAAGAAGGAACTTAAAATAGCCAGGCCCACCCAGGTGAAAATTTAAGAAATGATATTCTAGGTCAAGAAAAGGATTAGTAGTCCTGCTGAGTGGTGGAGCATTTGTGTAGCATGCATAATACCCAGATTCCATCTCCAGCACTGCAAAACGAAGAGGTAGGGAGGGAGAGGGTGGGAAGAAGGGAGTGATGGAAGAGGCAGGCAGGGAGGGAAGGAGGCAGGCAGGCAGGCACACACACACACTAGATAACTCATCCTCTCCCTTGCAGAAGGGCCCCTTATTGAGGCTAAATCCACCTCAAGTTCCCTTCTCTCACTACCTTTATTGTATTTCAAATTATTTCCTTGCTATGGGAGCTTAGAGAAAGAAAAGGTAAAATTGCAGAACCAGAGATTGGTCTAAGCTTTGAAGACATCGAGTCAAAGAATTCTCAAATAATTTACTTTTGAATTAAAATATCACTTTTGTTATTGACACCTGCAGGATTCCAGCAGTGGCTGGAAGTCAGATTCAGTTGTGAGCTCCTAATTTTCCTTGCACACTACCCTTTCTCTCTTTTTTATTTATTTTATTTTTGGGGGGGTACTGGGGATTGAACTTGGGACCCTGTGCTTGCGAGGCAGGCAGTGGCACCATGGAGCTAAATCCCTGGCACCACCCTACCCCTTCAAAAATGTAACAGGAGCAACTCTGGCCTGCACTTGGTATTTTCACTGACCCACAGCTCCCTGCCCACCATCACTAACTGAAGGTAGGAACATCTGTGACCCAGCAGTGCCCTCGGGCCACATACCAGTGGCCACTCCTCCAGACCGCTGCAGGAAAGCCAGCGCTGAGATGGTCATGTTCAGCAGGACTGTGGAGACCTGGGAGAGCGTCCGGTTGAGTGGCAGCCAATCCAAATCGTCCAGCAACACTACAGCACTGGGAGCAAAGCAAAGTCAAAGCAGTGAGTCAGCTATCGGCCAGCAAGAAGCATCAGTTCCAGATTCAGTGCTGTGAGACAGGGCAAAATATTCAGTGTTCCGGGGCTCTGAGTCCCTGGGCCTGAGACAGAGCACAAGAGGGAGGCGCTGTCTTCAGAGGCTTGGGAATGTGACTTCTGCCACAGCCTTGGCTTGGGCCGGCTCTCCCATGGGTGCTGCCTTGGGGGCAGCTGGCGAGGCCACCCAGGGCACAGATGCTACCCCACTGCAAGAGGAATGACTACCGAGTTCGGAGGGCAGTCTGTGGGGGACACATGCAAACCCCAGCCCTCCACATTGTTTCAGCCCACGGATCTGAACATCAGGGTCAATCTGGGGTTGCACACTCATTCACAGAATAGGGGGCACTGGGGAAAGGGGGTCTGCCTATATATGGTGCTCATCGTACTTATTAAATATCAGTTTTTTATTTTACGAATAACTACCTAAATTTAGAGGTCAGAAAAGACACTTAACTGAAACAGGGATATATCTACATTTCAGCCCCACAAGACCAACACAGCCATATATTGCAGCTCAAAAAGATGATCTCCCTGTGGTTCCTCGTTAAGGGAAATCTCTCATGGGGCATCTGTGTACTGAAGAAGATCCAGGGACTACAAACTGGTCCCACTTGCACACTCTTATTTCCACGAATACAGGATGTCCTTACACTGTGCCACACAAGCAAAGCACAGAGACAGAGTTCACACCAAAGCCGACACACACTGACAACTGTCACCAATATCTTCTCATTTCAAAGTTTTCCCGCCTCAAAATATCCTTGTTATTCTTGCCATCCACTGGTAAAATACTCAGGGCGTACAGCAAAAATACACCGAGGCCCTGCAGCACCGTGTGTGCACACTGAAAAGAGTATGAACGTTTACTAATAAAACACCATGTTAGCAGGTGTTGACACAGACAAACTTACATTTTCTTACATATGCAGAATAAAAAGTAGGAAAGCCACCACAGAAAGGGGTTCGCCAGAAGCACCCCAGTAATGCAGGATCAGACCCATCACACAAGAGCAGTGCTCAACTTCCGGAACTGCCAACACAAAGCACCGGGCCTATCTGGATGATATTCCAGGCGACTGTGTCAGGATTAGCTAAGATTGTTTACCTCACTTCTCTAGAAAGAAGCACAAGTCTAATGCTAAGATTATTAGGTAAACTGTGGTGTAGAGAACTTCACAAAAATAGAAAATTACAGCTATTAAAAAAATGATCATTTGAGACTACAGAACCCCATGAACTGTTTGTTGTCTTTTTTCTTTCTTTTTTCTTTTTTTGGTACCAGGAGTCAAACTCAGGGCCTCGAGCTTGCCAGGCAGGCGCTGTGCCACTGAGCTACCACCCCAGCCTAGGAACCTATGAAATGTTAACGGAGCAACATTACATCTTTTTAATTATAGAAAGTAGGCTCTGAACATCTCTGCATCAAGGCCAGAGATGTCCACAGACAGGTGAGGGACAGACGCACAGGTACAAGTGCCCCAAGTGTCCGCAGGTGAAGTTACTGTCGAGATTTTCTTTCATCAAACAATTATGCAGAGACGTGTATTTTCCCATGAAAAATAAGGCAGGAAAATCGACGCCTATACTTATTATATTTTACTTTCTCACTTACTTTCTAACAGCCTGGAGAAAGTGCACCACGGTTTGTGTGGCATCTCCCACATGAACTGTCTTTGTTTGTAGCCTTGGCAGTGAAAACAGGAAGTCCCAGAGGTGCGGCTGTTGGTGGAGGATTTCCAGTTCTGATATCACGTCCTCGGTTTGGTTGAGATCCATCTGGAGACGGAGAGAAAATAACAAAAGTCATCCTTCTTAGTTTTATTAACCAACTGAGAGACAGACAGACAGACACAGAGAGAGAGAGACCCCTTCTCTGGTAGAAACTTGCACCTAACACACTGACGTGCCACTGGGTTGGATAAACCATTCTGCCAGGGTTTTCTTTTTCTTCTTTAAAAGTATGGACAACTTTTCTATACAAGTTTGAAATCGGGTCAGAACATAAAAAGTTAGAAAAACAATTTAAAATAAGTATAAAGTCTCACAAGGAAAAAGAACGGGGAAATGAAGAAAAAAGGAAGAGAGGAGGAAATAAAGCAAGTAAAAATAGAGAGGGAGGGAGGGGCATACAGAGAAAGCGGGGGGACATGTGGGGAAGAAAGGACAGGGGTGGGAGGGAGAAGGTCTTGCCCTCTTGGGCAGGTGACATGTCTGTCCCGCAGGTGGAGGCTCCCGGGGTCCTCAATCCGCACCCTCTCAGGCTGACCTTGTGCACAGGAGAAGCAGATGTAAAAGTGCAGTTCGGCTGGGGCCTGGGCTCCCGGGAAGTGCCCACTTCACGGGGGACGCATGAGACTCGAATGAGCGCACACATCGCCCACATTGCCTCCATCTCTGCCTCGCCACACCCCGTGCAGGGCTGTGCATGCCGTGTCCATGCCTCCTCCACGCCCCCCCAGCCCAGCCTCTCTGGACATCTCCAGCCACCTTTGTGCACCAGGCCATGGCCTCCCCTGCCGCCTTCCCTCACGATCCACCGCAGCACCGGGACGGCAGGCCTCCTGCTCCCTTGCTCACTTTCCCCACCTCTTCCTCCTCCTCTTTCTCCTGCTCAGAGTGCCCAGAGTGCAGCCTCTCTCCTCTGCTTTCTCCCTACATGACCCCAAGTGTCACCTCAAATCCCTGCAGCCCAGCCTGCCCACCTTGGCTCAACCAGGTCTCAGCACAGCCTCCGCATGCATCACTAACACTCCAGGGCGACCTCGGCTCCCCTTCTCCTGCTGCTCACTGGGTCACTGGCCATCTGTCTGTCTGCTCTCCCTGTGTGCACAGATGCTCTGGACGCGCACCTCCTGCCACCACCCTCCCTCAGCACCCAGCGACCACTTCCTCCGAGTGAAACCGAAGCAGTGCCATCTCGCCAGCAGAATGGAGAGACACCCAGGAGTCTCCCGTCCCGGCAACTGGAGCTCCCCTAGCTCTGCTTGCTGCACATGTGGCGAGAACGTCTGAGCACCACAGTCACACCGAGGCCTCGGACACACGATGGCTCATGGCTGCACTCACGCACTGATGCACTGATTGCTAAGACGTGTGCTAAGTGAGCCATCAACGCCTGCTTACCCTACTCTGGGATAGTAAAATTATCCACCATAGCCAATTAACACCATTTGCCATACAGCTTTCTAATTCTTTCACATTCTAAGGGAGATGAATTGTCAGAACGATTACAGGGACAAAGGATACCGGGCTACTTCTTCCAAAGTTACCACATCCATTTTTATTGCAGGAAACCTCAGTGATCACGTCAGTGAGCCACCAGGCAACACACGGTGGGGATCGGAACCTCTGTTAGAAGTGCCGATTACATCACTGAAATGGTGCTTTGTCCTGTTTCTAAGTCCTTTAACTGTTCCTAAGCCCCTTCATTCGCTCGTCCCATAACACTTTCCCTGGGACCTGGCTGTCAGAAGGCCAGAGTCTGGGTGTGTGTCCCGCCAAGCTCTGGGTGCCTCGTCCCTGGTATGGTTCCCCACAGGACCCATGGGCAGGCTGCCTCAGTCCGACCCACATATGCCCTTAACCTTCCCCTTGCCCTTTCCTAATGATTTCATCACGTACTCTTCTTCCCTACACTGAGTCCTTCTTGGAATCGGACAGATCCACGCACATGCATGGCTATGGCCACAGTGCTCCCCCTGATGCCAAAGAGGAAGCCTTGGGGCCAGGCTTCGCCCCTGACCCGGCTCCCCCAGCACTGCGGTCCTCACCAGGCACATCTCTGTAAGAGGGCACTGGCAGCACCCCAGCCTCTGCCCCCTCGGGGCCAGCACCAGCCTCCTGCCCATCCCCACCTGTGACAACCACAAACCACCCAGCCCCAGACACACATTGCTGGCCAGTGGGAGAGAGAGTCACACCTGTGGGTGAGCAAGAAGGCTTTGTTCCCAAGGGGGAGTCACAGGGTCCAGTCACCACAAACCTGGGCTCATGTGAGTCCAGAGGGGCTCTGTGGGGCCCCAGCACCTGCCGGCCTCAGCAGCCACCTGAGCCAGGCTGAAGGAGACTAAAACTGGCCTCTAAAGTCTGCAGGGAGCGTGGCTCCCAAACACACCTCCAACATAATCATTACACAAAGTCAAATCACTTGAAAGCATGAACTAAATTTCAATACAGTATCTTAAACAATTGGGAGATTCAATTTTTATTAAGAGACTCACCGTTAAAAAGCTGGAACCGTAAGGAGAATCTAGAATAAAGCAAATTTAAGAGATTAGTTCAATCACCAGCATGAAAGCAAGTGCTGAGTGATGCAGTTTTCAGGCCCAGTGGTGCCCCAGAGCCCCAAGAATAAAGACAGCCACAGAGAAGAAGAAGAAAGCCAAAGCAATCCAGCACTGTCCACTTTCAAACCACCATGACATTACGTAATTTCCTGGAAGAAAAGCCACTGGTCACCCAAATCCCAGTGATTTGCTAAAGGGTATTCTCTTTGTGATCAGTTCCTCCTGGAGTAGTCAGAGGAAGATAGAGGAAGTGAAGGATGGATGGATGGAAGGAAGGGCAGGGGAGGAAGGGGAGGGGACGGAGGAGCAAGGAAGAAGAAAGGAAAAAGGTGAAAGGGAACAAAAAGTGATGTTATGGTTTTTCAGATTGTTTTTTGGATTACATATCCTATGAGGAAAGGCTCAAATGATAGCACGTTAAGAACATAGTGGAGATTAGTTCTTGTTTCAGTAACATTTTAAAAACCATCTGAGAAACAAATTTTATAAAACAGAATGATCCCATAATGGGCTTAATATAAGAATTCCATCATTTGATATTAAAAGCTATTCTGGGGGGAGGGGCACACACCCACACATGAAGCAGTGGGGATTGAACCCAGGGCCTTTGCACTGTGCTACACCTCCAGCCCTCTTAAGTTTCTTATTCTGAGACAAGGTCTTATTAATTGACTAAGTTGCCCAGGCTGCATTCAAACTTGCAATCCTCCTGCCTCAGCTCACCAGAGTGCTGAGATTACAAACATGTGCCACCATGCCCAACTTATTCTCCTCTTTTGTTCACATACCTGGGGTCCATCTTGAAATCAGCCATTGGGAAAAGTATGGTCTGCTGTGACCTGGCCCACCCTGGACAGCAGTGACATTTTCTCTTAGAAATGCCACCTCCTCCGAGAAACTCCCTCCTCATTTTTCTACCAATCTCTTCACTTGATTTTCTTGTATACTCTCTGAAGGATGGATAGATAGACAGACCCCTCTTTATGCTTCTCTTTCTCAACCTCTGCATCTACCTGTCTCTACCTCCCTTTCAAAAATCTGAGTTGGGTATTCAGGACCACCAGGTTTTCTAAATAAAAACAATGGACATCTAGTTAAATTGGAATCTCAGATTTTAAAAAATGAGTAATCTCCTTACAACACAGGTGTACTATTTGGGAAACATATTTAAAAACTGTCTACTATTTAAAATTCACTTTTAACTGAACTTCATCTGGCAGCATGGACAGGGTCTCCATGGCTGCCTATTCAGTGGGCAGCACCCGGGTAGGCCCAGGGGACGCTGCCCTCGCCCTGGCCCCAGCCTTGTCCCAAGCACTGCCCTCCGTGAGTGCCGAGATCTGTGCCCACCCACTTCTTTGCACAGCTCCAGAAGTCTGAGTTGGAGCCTCTTACACGCAGATGCTTCTCACAAAGAACAGAAAGTGCTATTGCTCAGAGAAGGATCCAGCCCTACTGATTCCAAGTTCAAGGTCACAGCCAATTCACCGTCCAGGGTAGGATTCATGCTGCTGATGTGGAAAATCCCACAGCTGTGTGCACAAGAGGAGGAAGGACCTGGAGCTGTGCACAGATCTGAGATGGGAAAGGAAGTGCACACAGACAAGGGCGGCAGAAGAATGCAGAGAAAGGAGCCTGGGGAGAACAGACCACAGGCTGCGCTGGGAAGGAGGCAGGCTGGGAACCTGTGCCTCCCAAACCACTACCAGGTACCAGGACCTGAGCCACACCTCCAGCCCTTTCTGCATTTTTTTTTTTTTGGAACAGTCTTGCTAAGTCCCCTGGGCAGGACTTGAACTTGGATCCTCCTGCTTCAGCCTCCTAACTGCACAAGGCAGCCTCCAGAACAGGGGAAGGAAGGCCCCATATGCATCCCCACCGGCATAGGCCGGCCTCCCCCACCAAGGGGCGCACAGGATTTCCAGACTTTCCCTGCACAGGCGGCACCCCATGGGGGGAAAGTGGGGAGAGTGAGTCACTTGCCTGGTGTCTGGCCTCTTTCTCGCCAGAGCTTCTGCAAGTGCTTTGCCTTGTTCACTGCTGCGTAAATGTCCTCGGCCAGGCCCTGCACCTCCTCCACAAAGGCCAGGCTGGTGACCTCCGCATCAGCAGCAGCAGAGCGGAACCTAGGGAAACCCCAAACAAACGGGATCAAGGCCAACATGGGGCTTTCGTGCCGCAGTTACACACACACACAGACACACACACACACACACACACACACACACACACACACACAAACTGCCTTCCAGGTTCTCAGAGGGGAAACCACACTGTCTCCCACGATACTCAATCCCCAAACCCGACACCAGAAGCCAGCTTCCCGCAAAATGGGAATTATCACTGGGAAAGTGCTACACATTTAAAATCAGAAAACTGTTCACAAAGCTTGGCTTTTTTGTTTTGTTTCTTAGCCACAGTTAGGCGCTGCTGTGCGCTGTCCATGGTGCTGAGCAAGAACAGCCGCAGATGGACACTTTCTCCGCAGGAGGAGGGCCCCGAGGTCCATCCTCGTCCTGGGGTCCACAGCACACTGCCAGGACGATGCCAAGCTGAGGCCTGAAGGACCACAGCCACGCAGTCATGGCACTACCAGGGACCACGCAGCACAGGGACTGGCATCCCGGCCCTTGGAGGTCTCCTTGGCCATGAACCACGACTCTTCACCTGGGACCTGGAAGCACCAAAAGGTGAGTAGTGCAGAGCTTGGCTTGGCCGTGTTGCGTCCTTCCTCTCCATAGTTCCTGAGACGATAGCTCCTGAGCTCTCCCGGGGCTGTGTCTGTCTAGGAGCTGCCAGACTGGGCCTCTGAGCCAAGTGCACAGGGTCCACCTCCCCCAGAGACAGAGAACGCCAAGATAAGGGGTTCAGGGGGACACCGGTCCCCTGGAAGCCTCCAGCCACTGTCCCAAGCCTCTGGTCTCCTGAATCCCAGGGAAGGTGGAGCCCCGGGACCGAGACCCCCACAGACAGAGATAATCCTTCCCTGGAAGCAGAACCGTTCCTCACCAGGAGGAGTCCAGACCAGGGCACCAGGCCTGGGATGGGGACCAGCCGCCTGTCCGCAAACCAAATAAGGTTTGAGGGTGGACCGGCTACACCACTCTATCGAGCGCACCCCCAGCTACCCAAGCTGGATTCCTTTCCAGTCTTCCCTCTGACTTCCCCACTAAAGCATTTTTCTGTAAATCTGTGCTTTAGCTTTAGTTTTCATTTCTACTAAAGCCATGACCCACACTAGCCAGGGAGCAGCAGGGCAAGAAAGGAAACTCATGGGATGAAACACCCATCCATGGGGAAAACTTTTATCAAGGAGGAAGGAAACTTCCTCCCCTTGGAGGAGAATGGCTGAAGAACCTGTCAGGAACAGCAGGAGAGAAGCTCGGGAGAACAGGGGCACAGAGAGCTCTGCACACGCTCTATCATGCACTGCCGCAGTCCTGGGAGTGCAGGGGGACTCGAGAGGTCATGGAAGACAAGAGAAGGAAGAGATCTGAACAGCCCTGTGGCTGCAGGTAGAAAAAAAGTACTCAGGAGGGTGAGAATGAGCAGGGGTGACTGGTTAAAAAGGGGTCTTTTTTTGCCAGACATGGTGGCTCACACCTGTAATTCCAGCAATCTGGGAGGCTAAGGCAGGAGGATCACAAGGTCAAGCCCAGCCTAGGCAACACAGATCCTGTCTCAAGATAAAAAATGAAAGAGCCAGAGCTCTGGGTTCAATTCCCAGTGCTGCAAACAAAGGGAGGCTTTTCACGTAAATCCAGGGTTCAGAAGGGCAGAGGCTTCAGGATATCAACATGCATGGCTTTTACTGGCTTTTCTACTGAATTGTTTACTGTCTCCTTTGTGCTTGTATACAATTTTTTTACGTTTTAAACATGTACTTTCATCGCTTGATAGGAAATGTCTCTCTACTTTACCTGCCTTTAAAATTACTTCATCATTTTGCGAAGTTACTCCTAAAAGATGAGAAATGTGAGATATTTAAAAATATATATAACAGAGCAATGGTGAGAAGATAAAAATGCTAGAAATGACACAAATTTCCAATTGTAAGAGAAAGATCAATAAAAGCATTTTTAAAAAGGATTTTCTTTCATCTTTAAATATAGGGCTCCCAGAAATGTGACCCAGCTGACCCAGCTATTCCCCTTCTTGGTATCTTCCCAAAAGAATTAAAAGCATCACAGCACAAGAATGTATGCACACTCATGTTTATAGGGGCACAGTTTGTAATAGCTGAATCTTGGAAACAGCCCAAATGCCCATCAACCCGTGACTGGATAAAGATGTGGTTCTTTTATAAAATGGAGTACTACTCAGCCATAAAGATAAACTAGAGTCATTTATAGCTAAATATAGGCCATACTCTTCAGTGAAATAAATAGGACATACGTGTGTGAATACTAAACTGTTTCTCTGGTATGAGAAATTAAAAGTGCAAATGAGGACCAAAATGTATAACAGATATTGTGAAATAGGAGGAAAATGTTCAAAGGGGAAGGGGAACTGGGGAGGGGAGGCAGGGGAAAGAAAAGAAGTAAAAGAAAATAAGTGAGAAAAGAAGGAAAACACAGAAAGAAAGCTTTTGTAAATAGGGAGGGGTAGAGGCAGGGAGGAAAGTGGATAGGAAAAATAAGAACTAAGATGTATCATGTACAGGTACACAATCCCAATGACGAATGTCAGCATAGTGTACACCTACCATGTACCAATAAACTTAATGAGCTTTAAAAAAGAGTTCCTGCAGGGATGGTGTGAATGAGGGAGAGACCACCCGGGAAATGTGTTAAACATCCTGACTCTGGGGGCTTCCTCTCACCCATGGCCACCAGAGGGGACTGCAGGGTCAGGGTGGGAAGTGGCCCCAAAGCCTGCATCACAGCCCACACCACCCAATGCAGACTCTCCACAGACAAACCCAAGCTTCAGGGGAAATGGAGCCTGAGGAAAGATGATATTGCTGCATCTTTCTTAGGGTTACCAACATCACATAAGGAAAGAAACCTTACCAGTCAGCAAGAGAAAATGTTCTCAGGACCTTAGAAATCACCACTGTGCACCTGTTTGCATCTAACCTCAAATTTAATCAGCAGAACGACCCATTTGAAATAAAGTAGGAAATCATGCCGTAAGTTGCTACAGAGCTTGTTAAAGTACCCAAGTGTCCAACTAAATTCACCATGCTCCAAAGGGGAAAAAAAACGAAATTGAGAGAATTTTTCCTGACTGCAAATTACAGAGCCTTTTAGATATTTTAATTGTTTATTTTACAAATTAGAGAACTATGATAATGAACTAACCCTTGTCACCAGGTAAATCGACCATGAAAAAAAAAAAAAAAGCTTGCAAGACAAAGAGTTGTAATAAATCCCTCCCCAAAACACTGTCATTTAATTCTCATGACCTAGAGTGAAGTCAGAGCAATTCCAACATCTGCTGGTGAATAAAATAAACTCAGTGCCTTCTAGATCGCCACACGTCTGGAGATGCAGAAACCAGGGAGCTCACTAAATCAGATGACTTCTCCGCTGAGGTCTCATACAAATCAAGGGCAAAATAAAAGATAAATATTAGGAAACAGAGATGGAAATTTTGCAGAAGGGAAGAGGACCGAGAGATGAAGGGAGGAGGCCAAGAGGGAGGGGAGGACAGGAGAGGAGAAGGGGCTAAAAGGAGAATGAAGATGTGTTGTGTACTTGTACTAACTCCCCACGATGAATAGTCATGGTGCACTGCAAATATTTACAGATTTTAAATATCAAAGCTAAAACATGACCCCCGAGTACTGTGAATCTGCACCAGATCCGAGCTCTTCTACCACCCCTAGACACAAGACCTTCTTGGAAGCTACAGAATGATCAGATGATACAGACAGATGTCATTTAAGACGAGTTTCTCCTGTAACCATACCAGGTTTTATGTTCCTTTTCTATTATTTTGAAAGAACCTCTTTTGTCCTTAAGACTGGATTACGAATTATCACTGACATGAGAAATGTTTACAGAAGAAAGAAGATCCACAGAAAATGCCTGACTGAATGGTGTGTGGGTGGGGGAATTCCTGCACACATGGGAACCCCGGCCTGGGAGGGGAAGGCGGAACAGCTCCGCTTCCTGAGTCTGCCTCTGCGTTTGTACTCCTGTCAGGTGGGCAGTGCTCGGCCTGGCCAGGGAGGGAAGATCTTAAAGGAGCTCGGGATGCAGGGGACAAGTACAGGCCACTGGACGGGGTGACTGGGCACCTCAGCCAGCAAGCCGGCCTGAAAGCCATCACAGACACCCAGGAAGATGTTACCTGGAGCCCTTTGTCAGCATGAGAGATGGGAGGAAGAGAGAGGAACCTCACGCATCACTAGTTAGGCTCAATGCGCAGACAGAACGGGACCCAGTGAGAGTTTCCCTGAGGTCGAAATGCTTTGCAGGCAGTGACACCCTTGGACATCATCTTGGAGAGAAGGTCACCACACTGTGTGCCTAGGTGGGGGCTGAGGACCAGTCTGGCCCTGCTGCCCAGGGCAAGAGCAAAGGGCAGGCGACAGGAAGCTGAGCAGGAAGTGCTGCCTTCCTGGCTCAGCAACAGCGTTCGGCGAGCAGTGCATAGGAGCAGGACTGTTACCGCAAGTTTCTGCCCGCGTGATGGGTCTGCAGCACAATGTTCATGCTCCGCCCTGTGAGCCATGTGTGCCCCTTCCTAGTACGAAAACACAAATTTCACCCAAAGGGCCATGGAGACCTGGGAACGTGTCCCTGTGTCTCTGTGTCCCTGGGTGGCCCTTTCAAGACCCAGCTGACGACAAAATCAAACACAAAAGTCTCAGCCTTTCTTTCGCCTGACAGCGCAGTTCTCACTGGGCCTGGCCTGCTGCTCTCCTGCGGTGCCGGAAAAGTCTCTGAGCTTCTCCACATCTCATCACTGCCAAGGACTTCTTCCAGCCACCTTGTACCATGCCTCACACAACAGAAGGGACCGGAGCATGCTTTTCATCACAGCTTTCACTACCATCAAGCGTGAGTTTAGGACTCGAGAAAGTGCCTACTGAGCCAGGACTGGTTCTAAGCAACCACATCCAAAGGCAGGAGTTACCCTCCCAAGGCCACCACTGGGAACACTCACACTGCTGCCCCTCCAAGGAGGCATCCAAGGGGGCACGTCGCCGGGACCAAGGCCTCTGGGCTGCCCAGCTCCTGCCCTCATCCACCTCTCACCCCAGGGGAACTGCGAGGATGGAGCAGCTTTGGAAATCTGCAATGGGACAAGGTCTAAAGGAGAAGGAAGCTGGAGTGATTCCCATCTGAGGAGGGAAGAAGGCAGGAACTCTTGGGGACTTTCCTCCAGTCTGAGGACACGCCCTTCCCTTCCCTTCCACGTACAAGGACCCTTGGTGGGGAGCAGGCTGGGTTCCGTGAAACCTGGTTCGTTGACTTTGTTGAGTTCTAGACAACAGATCCCCAACCCCAATCAGCAGAGATGGAGGCTGCACCCAAAACCTTTCTTTTATTTACTTATTTTTTTAATTTTGGACAGGGTCTCCCAGTGGTTATGCTGCTCGGGCTTGGCTTGAACTTGTGATCCTCCAGCCTCAGTCTCCCCAAGTTAAAAGTCTAAGCATAAAAAGGCAAAGATTATAGGGCTGTGCTGTCTGATTTTAAATACAAAGCACAGAAAGCTGAAAGGGAAAAAAAAAAGAAAAGAAATACGCAAACAAGCCAAAAGAAAGATGCAATGTCTATGTAAGTATCAAAGTATACGTCAAAATAAAACATATCACCAGGGGTAGAGAGGTATATATGACCTATAACACATATTATGCATATTACATTGCATGCTGGACACACATTACTGTCTAACATAATGCCTCATATCATATGTATAAGTTAATACATAATTGTGTATCCTGCCATGATAAATGAGCCAATGAAGAAGACAAAATAACCCCAATATGAAAATATTTACATCAGATTTTGAAAGGAAGCAAAAACTCGTACAGCTGAAAACCAATCAAGAAAAGTCCACTCTGTTGGACTTTTCACTTCCTTCTGTTGGTGGCACACAGGTTCAGCAGACAGAAAACCGGGCCAGACACTGGTGCAGAGGCCAGCACCACTCAGTGCTCAGTGTCACTCGGGAACCAGCTATGGTCAGGGCGTGGTAAGGCCCATGGTTCCTCTATTGCTGCTTGACAAAGTTCCAGCAATGACCGGCCTTGGGTTGAAAGCATCACTCCAGCCTTTATTTTTGCTTGCACTTTTGATTGGCTTAATTGTACAAGCTACTTCTGAGAAATATGTGTCAGTTGTGTCAGTTATTGAACCCCTAAGCACGACCCCTGATCCAGGGACTTTCTTTGAAGGGGTTTCCAATTTTTCAATAATTGAGGATTTCACTCCAACAAGAGCCCCCCCCCCAGCTTTCTTCCAAGTGTCCAATTACTTATAAAAATCCCAGAGAGGTGCTCAAAGATTTGTGGTAGAGTGATCTCATGGCCACTAGGCACCCCCGCCCCCGTTTCCTACACTAGGGCTTATATAGATGAAGTTAGAATAGCGTGGAAAGATAAAAAACGAGTAAGATAACAAGATTTGCCCTTTGTAGAAAGAATGAAATGTTCAGGAACACAGTGATGTCTATGCACTAAAGAACAAGTAAATACTATTGCCAGGCAGCTGAATAGTTATTATAGAAAGGTTAGTAAGTGCAAAATACTTGCTTTCTGACTATATAAAATAAAAGTTTAACCAAGAAGTTGAATAACCACAGTAGTTCTTTATCAAAACCTACTGACCTGCTAAGAGTTGGCCGCAGTCTTTCCATTGTAGCCGAAAAAGACATGGACTTTGAAAAATGGTGGCAAGCTTGGATTGTTCTTTTGATTTTGCTTTCATTTACACTTTTACTAGGAAATTGTTTGATTAATAATAGCTGAGGCAATAGATAAAATGTTCCTAGAAATAACAATAATAAAATAGGTATGTGCTGTGGTTTATTGGAAAAATGATCTTAAAAGTTTTTATCAGAAATTATAAACGTATGCCAATTTCCATATGTAACCTTTACTGTGATATAAATAAAGAAGTCCTCCAATGTTTGGAAGGCACACCACCTCATACCTACAGAGTGTCTCATTCCTTCACAAGTGCCGACTCCAACCCTCCTCCTCAGGACCTGAACTCTCGCCGAGGCTGGACCCCGGCAAGGGGGATGAGCCCAACTAAGGTGGAAGTCGTCCATCAAGACTTTAGGAGAATCTTCCAATATTCAGAAAGCAAACATCTGGCCAACAAGTAACTCAAGCAGTGAGGATGGAGCCAGAGGGTGAATCGGTTCCTTTACACTGGAGGCAGATGAAAACCCAAGATTTCAGAACTGCTGGATGCGACCAAGCAGGGCTCAGAGAGAAATACAGAGAGGCTGAAATATGTATCAGAAAATATCTCAAATCAAGTTTATCATAAACAAGGGAGATAAAGAAAAAACACATTATACCCTCGGAGAGACACAAAAGGCATCCAAGTAAGAGAGGAAAGGTAAAACTCTATTTTCACATAATGTGATCATGCATACAATCCTAAGGGAAATACGTAAAAACCACGAGAAGCAATGGCCTGTACTGTTTTAAATCTAAAAAGAATACCAAAAGCCCGCAAACTGCCTAGGAATGAGTTTCTCAGAATACATATGAAAGTGAAAATGAGGAAGCATCCCTGAGAGGAATCCACAAAAGCTGAGCAAATGAGGCAGGCGGTGCTGACCGTCTGGAAGGAGGATGCTCTCCTGGCCGACCCACAGGGTGATGTGAAGCCCAGGAACGGCTGGCACCACCTGCAAAGGGCTGAAGTCAGACCCCCTCCTCACACCGTGCCCAGAGGCCAGTTCAGATGGAAGTGTGGCATAAGAGATGAACTGGCACACTCCTAGAAGAAACCTTAACAGTACATCTACATGACTGTGCCTTAGACCGAGCCCTTTAGGCAGGACACCAACGGCATCTGCAAGAAAAGAAAAAGTCAACTGGATTCTGCAAAATTAAAAACTTTGTGTTCTTAAGAATACAATAGGAAAATAACCCATAAAATAAGAAAACTATGTGAGAGCCATATATCTGATAACAGACTTGTATCCTGGATAGCTACAATCTAAAGAACAGAAGGGTGAGATATGAAGAAATTGGACCCTCATGGACTGCAGAACAGAGGTCATCCCAGCACTCCAGGAGGCTGAGGCAGGAGGACTGCACGTTCAAGCCCAGCCTGGGCCACTCATCAAGACCTTGTCTCAAAAAAAGGCCTAAGGATGTAACTCAATGCGAAGGCCCTGAGGTCAATCCCTCCCTAGGGGATGGAAGAGGAGGGCAGGGAGGGATGGAAAGAGGGAGGAAGGGAGAGAAGAGAGGGGGGAAAAATAGAATAACCTCTGCTTTTCAAAAGACAGGTCAGAAAATGCAAGAAACATCACGGTACATATGTCTGACATGACTTAACCTGATGCATGTACAGAACTCTAAGAACTCAATAAACAAGAAATTCAATATTCAATATGAAGATTCTTTTCCTATTTGGGAGAGTTGAAGAGACACCACACACACACACACACACACACACACGGCCAATAACCACATGAAAAAGTGTTCCCAATCATTATCAGAAAGATGCAAGGGGAAAGCACCATCAGATGACATCAACACAGCGTCCCACACTGCACACTGGCCAGGATGCAGAGCTACTGGCATTCTTATACACCGGTGTTGGGAACAGAAATGTCACTCAGTTCAGAGCACAGCCCAGAAATAGGCAAACTGGGAAGGACCCAATGGTCCAGAAATGGGTGGTGAAGGGACAAATTGAGGCCTATCCACTTAATGGAATACTACTTAGCCATCAAAAAGGAGCAGGGTGCTGATTCATTCAACCTCAGGGAAAAATCCCCAACATTTAGTGGGCTGAAAGAATGCAGGCATGAAGATGTCTTTTATCTTCCATCTGAAACTCTAGAAAGCATAATCTAATCTAAATAACAGAAGGCAGGTAAGTCATTCTCTGAATCTAAAAAAGAGGTGGAGGAAGTAAGTTCTACAGGCATGGGGCGCAGGATTTGGAGAGAGAGGAAAATGCTGTATATCTCGATTGTGGTGATGCTGACAGGTATACAGACACATTAACACCTACAAATGCACTCAAATACTGAACAACAGTGTTCAATTTAAAATTAATTGTACTTCCATTACATAAGCAAAAATTGGTGGTATAACTTTTAAAGAACAGTATTTCATGACAACACACAATATGTAGGTAACCAGGAAGTTAAGAAAACACATGTCCGATCTCCCCGGAAAATTACTAGCATCCCAGGCTGAGAGACACCAAGGAAATCTAAGTGACTAAAGGATGCGCTGGCCACAGGGTGTGGCAGGCCCCAGGCAGAGCCAGTGCCCTCTGCTCTCCATCTGGCTGCCAGACAGGGCTTGGAGGTAAATCAGGGCCTCACAAGCCGCTTCCCAGCTACAGCGGCCCTGCGTCTCCCACGCAGAAGCACAGGCCAGAGTAGATGTCTGGGACAGAGTGGGAAAGGCCCGGCTCCCTGAGGGCGGGAGGGGGCACAGTGACCAGGGAAAGGCCCAGACACTGTAGAGGAGGAAGGAAGAGGATGCAAGGAAGGACTGGAGGCCCTGGCCACCACCTGAGGGTCCCGGGTAGCAAAGGGACTGGCAGCAGGAAGAAAGCCATCGTCAGGGTCCCTCTGCACAGAAGCAAAGCCTGTCCAGAAGCACAGAGCACAGGCCAGGGTGCAGCACGGTGACAGGCACCCACCTAGCAGACAAGAAGCCTGGGTTCCATCCCAGAACCACAAAAACAGAAAGTTTCAGAAACGAGGGCCAAATTCCATCCATTTGGGGCGAGGGCTGCTTTGTAGGGAAGGAGGAGACTGGGCCTCTGAAAAAGAAGCTGCCCCAGCTGCGGGGACAGGAGAACGCAGAGTCTGTGATGCCCGGAGGGCTGTCAGCTGTCCCCGGGCTCACTGACAAGCTGAAATCGGAGCCTGCTGTGGGCGATTAGGAAATGGGACCCAGAAGGAGGCAATGGAGGGGGAGGCTGAGATGATCCCCGGGGTGGGGAGCACTGAGAATGGAGGAAAGGGAAAGTAAGAATGCTGACTTTCGTGCAGAGACGCAAACGGGGACAGACAACGGAAAGAGGGTGCAGCAGAGCCAGCAGAGCAGTAGAAAGCATGTTAAATATGCTTCCGTGCCACTTGTTTTATCTCGAACCAGGAACCACCCCTCAGGTTCTGCAGGAAGATCCACTTCACCTGCCATCACCAGCGATTTCCGGTTTTGCTCTGAAATCCTCATTCTGGAAAAGGGGAGCCCCCTTAGGAAGCCAGGAGGGAGGGAGTTGGTTCCCATGCTCAGAGCCCACAACAAGTGATGCCTGGGTTTCTGGCTCCAGTAAGCTTCCTGCAGGGAATCGTGCAGGCCCTTAGATGCACGAGTCACGATAGTGTCCAGTGAGACCAGAAACAGAAACATCTGTTTTCAGGTGTTTCTAAATGAAGACCAAATACGCAGGAGTGGCTGCTTCTCTATGGGTCTAGATGTTCACCAAATTCACACCTAAACCGATGGGAAACAGGTGAGAGATGCCCAACTGCACACAGCCAGGTCTGCAGCCATCCTGTGCTCCCCTCTGTCCTTCTACATCCTTCCTCTCCTCTCCTTACTATTTTCTTTCTCTATTGTGTCCCGCATTTCTCCCGTCTCATCCTTGGGTGCAGCTGGACACAACAGGGGTCAGGGGTGAGGAGGCGGCTCACTACAAAGGCCCCGAGTTCAGCTCCCAGTGCAGGGTGAGGGCGGGAAAGGAGGGAGGGTGCTACTTGCCTGTAGGAGGCATCCAAGTCATGAGAGTGGGTCTTGGTGAGTGGCACTAGTGAACAAACCCCAGAGAGGCCTCCCCGCCCCCCACCATGTGAGGACACAGCTACAAGGCACCATCTGTAAGCAAACAGTCATCACTGGACACTGAATCTGTCGGTACTCTGATCTTGGGCTTCTCTTTCTCCAGAACTGTGAGAGATAAACACTTCTTTCTTATAAGCCACCCAAAACCAGGTGTGGTGGTGCACACCTGTAACCCCAGCAATCAGGGGCTGAGACAGAAGGATCACTGTGAGTTCGAGTCTGGCCTGGTCTGCACAGTGAACTCAAGACCAGCCTGAACTATATAGAGAGACCCTGTCTCAAAAAACTAAAAATAATGATAATGATAATGATAATAACCCTGTCTTATAAGCCACCCAGTGTAGGACATTTTGTTAAAGCGCCCAAATGGACCAAGACAGGACCATCTATAAATACCATACCATCTGCATCCAAAATTATCTGGAAATCTTTCATTTTCTACTAATAAGTAAAAGTTGAAAGATAAAGATCTTATACTTTAATATTTGCATTACTTCATTCATAGTTAACAAAAGTTAAATACTTTTAACATGTAATGCCACTGGGTAAACACTCCCATTCTGAAAGGGGGGAACAGAAAGACACAAGGAACTGGACGGAGCACAATGGAAACCCAGCAGGACAGACACTGGGTCCTGTAGCTCCATGCAGAGCACCAGGGTGGGCTGCGGTGAGATATGAGCTCTGAAGGGTTTGGGTGGCCTTGCTGCCTGTGGATGGCTGTGTATTTACGTCATTAGTCTCCAGTGCACCTTTGTTTTTACTTTGGGGGTTTGATTACTGAGGATTGAACACTGAGCTACACCCACCCCTTTGAGACATGGTTTCACTAAGTTTAAGTTGTTCAGACTGGGCTCAAACTTGCAATCCTCCTGCCTAAACATCCCAGAGTACTGGGATCACAGGCCTGCACCATAACACCTTGCTTAGTTACTTTCTTATAGCTTTACATACGTCCATCTCAGGAGCACACTGTCTGGCCTCCCAGGCCTTCCTCCGAAATCGAGGTGGAAGCCTTCCTGGCCCTACAACTCTGTATTCTGTATGCCTGAAAAGCCAGTAGCAGGTGACTATCCCCAGCTGGAGCAGCAGCCCAGCCCCTGTGGACGAAGGCTGCCGTAGCCTCTGAGTGCCTGGATGCTGGAGGGGAGAACACTCTTTCCCAGGTGGCCATGAGTGAACAGATCACCCTGGAGCACTCTCTTTTCAACAAAATCTTTTAAGGGGGTTTACCCTTTTATGCTCTTGAGCCTACAATAAGTGAAGTCTAGCTAAATTTTGAGATGCCCTTTATTATTCAAGTGTCAAGTACTTGGCTTTTTTAAAGTGGCTACTAATCTTGTTAGCAGCTACACTCTCCTTGGCCCCAACTTCATAAGTGCTTTCTTTTCTGACCAAGCTATAAAATTTTTGTATCTTTTGGTTCTGTTTTTTGTTTCTGACTTTTACAGTAGATCTGGCTAAAAGCAGCCAACAGTACGTATGCCACAGCCTAAATGTTGGGCTGCCTTGAAATTTCCTTGACCAGATTAGTTTGGCACTTTTAAATCAGCCTTCTGCAAAGTCTCCAGACATGGGCATACTGTAGAAATGTTCTCTGTCAGAATGTAACAAGCATGGCTCCTAGTCCAATTTCCAGCAAAGTTCTCATTTTCGTCCAAAACCTCCTGTAGCTGGCTTTTACTGTCTGCATTCCTAGCAGCAATCTGGTATCTTCAGCCCTGACCAGAGCTGTCTGTTAAACTCTACTTACAGCTTTTTAGGCTTTCTCCAGACTGATTTTTCAAACCTTTCAGAATTCCTGTCACAAACCAGTTCCAAATGCTTTCAAACCATGTGGTCAGGTACAATTACAGCAGTGACATCACTTCCTGGTACCAATTTTTTGTATTCTTTTTTTCTCATTGCTAGAACAAAATAAATACCTAACACCCACAACTTGAAGAAGAAAATGTTTATTTTGACTCACAGTTTAGGGGTTCTGCCCACAGTTGGCTCTCAGGCACAAACAGCATGGCAGTACAGCAAGGCAGAGGAAAGCTGCTCGCTTCGTGGCAGCCAGGAAACAGAGTGAGGAGAGAGGACCAGGAACAAGAACAGACTCTTCTACATCATGCAGTGATGCACCTCTTCTGACCAGGCCCCCCTTCTAATAGCACATTCAGCCACGAACTCATCACTGGGTGAATCCACCGATGAGCATAGTACTCTCATGATCCAACCACACACCTCTGAATAGGTGAGACTCTGGGGGAACACTGGAGATCTGAACAAAGCATGGCAGTATGAAGAAAGGAGGGGTGACTGACAACTGTTCATTTGGTCTCATATCAGGGCAGGATCCTGGTCAGCAGCACAGTGGAAAAAGCCCAGTGGGCAGCTCAAAGTGAATACCACCAAAATAAGAAGTTGGCTAAGCAAGAAGCTTTGAAAGAAGAGTTTTAACCTGGAGAAAACAAACTAGGACATGCAGTTGGCACTTCCTTGCCAGCATTTATACTATGGATCTTGAAACACAATGGAAAGTCCTCCCCCAACTCCTAACAATTAGCTGGGGCCATCATTATTGAATATGAGTTTTAAAAAACTGATTTGTGTAGCTCTACACTGCATGCTTTCTACAATCCCTGGCCTGTCCCAAATCATCAAGGCTGTACTACACCCATGATGCCCACAGTGGCACCAGCTCCCCAGGAATTCTGAATGGCATGTGTGTGTCTCTCTTACCGGAAATGGTGGTCCATGTACCCTTCAAAGCTGAAGTTCCTGCAGGTTGAGCCGGTGTTACAAAGAAGCCCTTGGACAAAGGGGAGAACGCCCCGGCTGGGCAGATCCCGGGGCTGCAAGAAACCTGTAATAAACACAAAGAAGAAATGAGTCCATGCCGCACTAACAGAAATTGATACCTACTGAGTCAGAAGTGGACAGAATCAAAATCTGTAACATCAAATGATTAGATCTGTTATTAAAGGAAGATCCAAAAACAATAAAACGCTGTAGATAACACCTCTTGCCCACGCCTACACTCACACTCATGGCAGAATGGCTATATCGGTAACCCTGGGTTTTGCTAGCTTCCCTGTCCGTGGAGCAGCCACATGTGTGCTACACCTCTAAACCCAGATGCAGCTCCCTGCAAACCAGCCTTGAGTAAGAAGAGTAATGGTGAATACTTTCCCATCTCACGTTAAATTAGGAGTTTTAAAGTTTGTGCAAAGGTTTCAAGTTTAGCACAACCTGGACTCTTAAATGTTTAAATGTAGTTGTTAAATATTATATAATGCAAAATGTTTTCTACACTGGCGAGGAGCGAGGACTTTTCAGGACCAACACGGTTACAGTGATTCGCTCCCTTGATAAAGTGCTGAGGACTCTGTTACAGCCCCACCTGCCAATCACACCCAGTGGGTGGGACCAGTGGAGCTACTGATAACAGCAGGCAATTTAGCAGTCACCGGTCCTGCTGACAGCCTCTCTCCTGGGGTCTAGTTTGGTCTGAGAGATGATTTCACTCCCCAGGACTCAGGACCCACTGTGTCCAGCACCAAGCCCAGTGCTTTGCACACTGAAGATGTTCACTACACGTCTGATGACTGGCTAAACATGAATGTATGTTCTCAGTACACGTGTGGCCCCGGGCCATAGAATAGGAGATCATGGAGGCATGGGGTCATAGTCCAGGCAGTGCCAGCGGGGATACTTCAGGAGCACGGCTCTGTACCCCATTCTCTCACATAGGTCAGCAATGGTGGGCACCATACTCACTTCCCATGCATCATGATAATCTGTCCCTCCAGAAAGTATCCGTTCCATCCTCAGGCTGGGGCACAAAGGACATTTGATACACATTTGTTGAATGAATACATAAAATACAATCATCAGTAGAAAACCTGAAAAGTTTCCCAGCTCTTCCTGAGTCTTTGATAATTTGGTTTCACCTTTTTCTGCGATCTGCAGTGCAGTCCCCATCCAACAGAAACCACCAATGAGGACCATTCCTTTTCTTTTTTTTGGGGGGGTACCAGGGATTGAACTTGGGTCCTTGTGCTTGCAAGGCAGGCCACCGAACTGCTGAGCTAAATCCCCGGCCCACATTCCTTTTCTACATGCAGAACCTAAACATGACTGAGGATGTGGCAGTCCCTGATTCATGTGAAATGCACAGAGCCAACCACATGGTACGTATTTCATAGTTGAGAAGAAACCAGTCATTTCTGCTGGGGGTGTAGACAGGGGGAAGCACAGGGAGTCATTAGATCTGTGGTTCAAGAAGTGAATTCTGAGCGGCACTTACAGCTGTCCCTGTGTCGGGGAGGCTCCTGAAACCGAAGGACCATCAGAATCATGAACAGGATGCAGGGCCAGAAGAACTCAGCGAGGGAAAGTACCTGGGAAATGAAAAGCACACATAGCCTGAGTGCCTGGCCACCGCCATCCCACTGTGGACGCCTGAAGGTCCAGCTCGTCCCTGCCACGTCCCAGTGCCCACGGTGTCACCTGCCTGGCTTCCACCCCTTGCCTTATCCTGCATGTTTATTTCTCCTGCATGTTCATTTGTGACATTAAAGAAGTTAAATAAATAAATTGATGCACCTCTCCCACACTTTAGCAAGTCGACTCTTATTTCTTCTCCTAATTTCTTCAATGTTCCCAAACTTTCCACCCAAACACATTCTTTGCCAGCCTTAGTGGAGCACTCACTTCTTTCTGCCCTCATTCTATGAATATTCTCTGGAGCCGCTGCTTCAGAATCTGTTACCATCCTACTGTCAAACAGATACACCTCAGTCCACACATCCATTCTTCCACCAAGGGGAAAAGAATTTTTTTTGGCAGTACTGGGAACTGAACCCAGGGCCTTCAAACTGAGCTGTAGCCCCATCCCTTTTTAACATCTTTAAATTCTGAGACAGGCTAGGCTGGACCTTGTGATCATACTGCCTCAGCCTCCTGGAGTGCTAGGATGACAGGCATGTGCCACTGCTTCCAGCTGGGAAAATGTTTTGTGTGTAAATTATTTTTTTATTATTTTCTTGAGTCTCAAATGAACTCTTAAAAGTAGTATTAATGGCATCAACTGTGCCTGCACAGGACCACCTAAGAGTTACCCAAACGGACTGCTGTGATGTGCACAGCCCTGACTTCCGAAGTCAAAAGAAAGAACACTACCATCCATATAGGGTATTGTTGGCAAAGGATGTGCTGTCTATAATACGCCGCCCAGTGGAGGGTTAATTAATAGAAAATCTTCCAGTACTCTAAGTCTGTCACCAGTTTTTCATTTGTTATGATGGATAATCTTCCTTCATTGATTTCAGGCCATCTCCTGTTACAAACACCAAAGTGGACAGTTAGACATCAGTAAGGCATTGCCGGGCATGATGGTGCATGCCTGTGGTCCCAGCACTCTGGGAGGTTGAGGCAGGAAGATTCCTAGTCCAAGCCCAGTCTGGGCATCTTGGTGAGACCCTGTCTCAAAATAAAAAGTAAAAAAGGGGCTGGGATGTAGCTCAGTCCAAAGGCTCTGGGTGCAGCCCGAGTAGAAGGAAGGAAGAAGGAAAGGGAGGAGGGAGGGAATTAAAGGAATAAAAACAGGCACACAAGCCTAAGTCTGCAAGCCCAGGCTGCTCAGTCCTACACGGCAGTGAACTTCAGGTCTCTTCAGCCCTCTGCCCTTCAACCTCTGCGTCATAACCCCTGCCCCATGTCAGCCCTGCCCACTACAAGCAGATCTACCTGTGGCCAGGTGAGTGTAAGGCCAGGAACCAGCCTGCCAAATGGGGAGGGAGAGGGAGCCCTGCTATAACAAAGAAGACATCACCCTCTGCAAAATAGTGCATGGAGAAGCAAGAGAGGGCAAAGCAGTAGAATGTTCTTGGGCACAGGACTGAAACTCAGGACCAAGACTTTTTCCACATTGGGAAAACGTCCGCAGGGGATTGCATGCTGGCCGAAGGGCCACACCTAACACCAGAGAGGAAGGCCAGGAGCACTGTGGAGATGAAAATTCACTGAAGTCATTTTGGTCATTCCCTGTGACAGTTTCATAGTGAGAAGTACTGGAGCAGGGAGCGGGGGCTCCACAGTCAGTTCTACCCCAACAAGAACATGCAATATAGAAAACATACCTCACATTGAACCTGGATACCACAAAGAAAAATGAGCACAATTTTTTAAGAGGTTGTTCTTTTTCATTTTTAGGGACCTATGGCAGATTTTTTTCTTTTAAGACAAAGTTATAAAGGAAACAAGTAGGCCCAAGACTCCTGTAACAACTTCTGACATTATAAATATATGAATAAATAAACATACGATAGAAAATCTTGTAAGTAGAAAATGAATACAAGCACTCTCCCAAAGAATAATTTACCTTAGTTTTCTTACTTTCTTTTTAAAATATATGTGTGTGTGTGTGTGTGTGTAAGCATGAGTATTGTTTTTAGAAGCAATTTTTCACTTCAACACCAATCTACCTTGTTGTTTATAATTTACAGTAGAATTTAACCAATAATCTAAGTAAGGAAACGTGCATGGTTTTCTGTTTGTGTGGCTGCCTTCCATACATTTATCTGTGAGGTAGCTTTGCTAAGGGAGACTGCTGAGCCAAAGTGTATATGAATTGTAATCTAGGTTTCTAGCTTGAATAAATGTAAGTACAATTTCATCATTAAAAGCTACTCTGGGGCCAGGGATTTAGCTCAGTGGTTCCACTGCCTGCCTCGCAAGCGCAAGGTCCCAAGTTCAATCCCCGGTACCAAAAAAAAAAACAAGAGCTACCCTGATCAATCACATCCACAGTGGCACCCAGAATTAACAAACATTTTTTTGTCAAACCTTCGTCAACTGATATATAAAAATAATTATTAAACTCAACAATCTTGTAAGTTTGTAAAAATTCCTCGTCTGCCCCTTTTTCTAGATACCTATTTTTCTATTAAGTTGTTCTCTTTTTTAATAAAAGCATAAGTATTGTTTTTAGAAGCAATTTTTCACTTCAACACCAATCTACCTTGTTGTTTATAATTTACAGTAGAATTTAACCAATAATCTAAGTAAGGAAACGTGCATGGTTTTCTGTTTGTGTGGCTGCCTTCCATACATTTATCTGTGAGGTAGCTTTGCTAAGGGAGACTGCTGAGCCAAAGTGTATATGAATTGTAATCTAGGTTTCTAGCTTGAATAAATGTAAGTACAATTTCATCATTAAAAGCTACTCTGGGGCCAGGGATTTAGCTAAGTGGTTCCACCGCCTGCCTCGCAAGCGCAAGGTCCCAAGTTCAATCCCCGGTACCAAAAAAAAAACAAGAGCTACCCTGATCAATCACATCCACAGTGGCACCCAGAATTAACTAATTTTTTTTGTCAAACCTTCGTCAACTGATATATAAAAATAATTATTAAACTCAAAAATCTTTTAAGTTTGTAATAATTCCTCGTCTGCCCCTTTTTCTAGATACCTATTTTTCTATTAAGTTGTTCTCTTTTTTAATAACTAATTTACCAATTACTACTTGTCCTTTTTTAATTAAAGAATTCATCCCTTTGTTGGCCTTATGCATTCAAATATTTTCTCCAAACTTTTGCCCATATTTTACTTCCTACATGCACAGAAAACATAATTTAAAAATTTAAAAATTGGGTCAGGGATTTAGCTCAGCAGTTCCGCCACCTGCCTTGCAAGCTCAAGGACCCAAGTTTGATCCCCAGTACCAAAAAAAAAAAAAAAAAAAAAAAGTTAAAAATTGCCAAATTAAATAGAGAGCAGCTACTCTGAAGCTACAAATATTTATTAGCCAATCTTCAGATCAATGAAGAATTTCTCGTTTCAAACGGAAACAACATCATTTTAAAAAATATATTGCCACGGCCAGGGATTTAGCATAGTGGTTCCACTGCCTGACTCGCTGAGTGCAAGGTCTTGAGTTTGATGCCCCCTACTCCCCCGCAAAAAAAGAAAAGAAGAAAAGAAACATTCTTTAAAAAAAAGAGAGAGCCCCATGCCACAGAATACATCATTTGAAAACATTAGGAAGTGAGTTTTTGCCACACTACAAAAGTAATGCAGGCCAACCAAGTATGGTGGACGAGCAGAGAGGACTTTATCTGAGGATACATGTTCTATATTTCATTAAAAGAGTCTACTATATTTCGGGGGTAAACGTCATAGTTGAATTATGGATAATGAACTACAAGCTATTGATCTAAAGATAAAGGAAAACTAAATCATGCATGACAGCATCCACCTGTAATCCCAGCACTCTGGGAGGCTGGGGCAGGAGAATCACAAGTTCAAGGCTTTAAAAAGTGAAAAAGGGCTGTGGATGTAGCTCAGTGCAAACGCCCTGGATCTGATTCCCAGTACTGCAAAAATACATATGTACATACATACATGCATACACAGACACTAAGACAGAGTCTGAAAGTAGGAAAAAGTAACTCACGAACAAGGGAAAAAAATCAATCAGACCTTAAATATGTTCTCAAACCACTCACTGCTAGGTGTCAATGCATCAGTATTCACAGTGTTCTAGGAGGAAGTGCGACTTTAAAAAAATACACAAACACATGATACCCAGCCCTAACTAGAAACCAAAATGAAAATAAAAGTGGGGCCAAATTTAAAATCCAATAAAATCACTTCTACTCTCAGTGGTGTCTTGGCTAGAAAGAGAAGATCTGCTGCATTTTTCTTACAGAAAGTGGAAGAAATCTCCAAAGACCTGAGAGGAGAGGAGTGACCCTCCGCCCAAGTTTTTTTTTTTTTTTTTTTAGCTCATTAGCTGAATCTTCAAAGGTAAGATTCAATTACAGGGTGGGGGTCGGTAGTAGTTCCTCTTAAAGAAATGGACAAGTAGAATGTCTAGTGTTTTTTAAGTTGATGGCTAAGAATTTTTCCAAACATATAAACAACCCAATTTTGCAGGTAAAATAAACACAACAGCAACAAGAAAAATAAACCCACCAGAAGACACGGAGTGAAATTTCTGCACAGCTAAATCAAAAACACCTCAGTAACAATCCAAAACATACTACCTCAAAGAATGAGAATTTCTGGTGATTCATCAATAGCAAGAAACCATTGAAATATATTTAGATTGTTAAGAAAGCTCTGTTAATCTGGAATAGCATGCCCAGAAAAATTATCTCTCAAGAATCAAAGAAAATGACCAGTTAAACAGAGAGCAAGCTACCCAAGAGCAGACCTATATACACCAAACAAGCTTCTCAAGTAATGTCCATTGATTTTTAACAAGGATGGAATCAAAATACTTAAAAGACAAGACTTGATTTTTAAAAAGAGGCATGTGTGGGTAAAATTAAAATATGAAACAAGCGGTTTCAAATAAAGATGTGAAGAAATGTACTACTAAATGTTAAACAAATTATG